AGTGCAGAGGGGTATAGGGGTGCAGGGCGTGCAGGGGTGTAGGGGTGTAGGGGTGCAGGGGTGTAGGGGTGCAGGGCTGTAGGGGTGAGGGGCAGGGGTGCAGGGTAGGGTGTAGGGGTGCAGGGGTGTAGGTGCAGGGGTGTAGGGGTGTAGGCAGGGGTGTAGGGTGTAGGGGTGAAGGTGCAGGGGTGTAGGGGTGCAGATTGTAAGGGTGTAGGGTGTAGGGGTGTAGGGGTGCAGGGGTGTGGGGGTGTAGGGTGCAGGGGTGTAGGGGTGTGCAGGGGTGTGGGGGTGTGGGGGTGTAGGGTGCAGGAGTGGGGTGTAGGGGTGTAGAGGTGTGTTGGGGTGCAGGCGTGCAGGGGTGTCAGGGGCTCCGCTTATTTAAAATCCGCTTGGCGGCCCGGGCCCGAAGCCAACGGAGGTGGTATAAAATATCTGTTTAGGTATTTAAAATGCGCTTATTTAAAAACCCTCACCGTAGGTGCGGCCGAGACTACGTAGATTCAACAACCCATAGAAAGCATGGCCCTCAATCCAGGTATGGCTTGGAGGAGCTGTTCTATCGCCATGGTGTCGACATGTACATAGCAGGCAGGAAGTACGTGGGAGGCGGTCATGCTGGATACTTTTCCGGACCTGTTCCAAATCACAGTTTTAGTTTCTGCACATCTACCCCAACTTGGTTAATGTTTGTTCAAGCTGAGTAAACCAGGAGGAGTAAGACGATGCACGTCCTCAAGGCAAAAACTTCTGTCTTTCCCAGCTTGTGTCAGATTTAGATCTTCGAGAAGACAATCAAACGACTATCCCCTTTGTTTCCAATGAGTTCTGGACTGTGATAATGTAGAATGCAGCCACACGGCTTGTAGCAAGGGAACGTGGGCCCATGAGGGCGTACCATCTGTCCTGTGCACGTATGTACATAGTTATGTATGTAACGGCACGTAACGTAGGGTACAGTATGGCAATGTATATATGCAGGCACGCATGCGTGCATGTATGTATGAATGTATGTATGTATGAATGTATGTATGCATCCATACATGTATGTATACGTGTATGGACACACTCAGCTGATGCCTTCTTGATATGTGGATGCCGGGAGTAGTTACATCAGCCTCTGCAATAGTGGTCTGTGTTGCTGCTGTACGGGTTCGAAATGAACCTGGTTGCAAGTCTGGTCCCCTGTAGTCCTCGCCTGACTTAGTCGAGCGCGAGTGCTAAAATATATGTATGTAGATATGTGCTTTCGTGCTGGCATACATCAATGTACGCAAGGCTAGTTACTGGCGTACGTGCTGCATGTAACGTCTCGAAGCACAGTCCTCTGTGCCTAAGCTCAAAGTCTTAGGTTGCTGAGCCCTGTGCTTCCGCAGCGGGTTTACCCCCTCCAAACAAACCCTCTTCGTGAGCCACAATACGTCGGTCGTGGGGGGGGGGGGGGTGAAGGATTCTTGGATGGCGGCGAAGGGGTTCAACGAGAGGCCAATTAGGGCCAGAAATCCCCGGGACCCAGAGCTTGCATGACTTTTAAAGTTAAGGCTCTACATATTCTACATCAGCTGTACGCAGGCCACGAGCACAACTACGAGCGCATGTTTGACGTTTCTCCGAAGTGGAACCCAATGATGCCATGGCTGAGTGGCATCACAACTGAAAGCACGATCGACCCACCGGCCACAACATACATCGTGACAGGCCCGGCTTAGGGTAACTAGGGTAAGGGTTTAGGGCTTGGGGTTGAAAGTTGAGGGTTTAGTATTAGGATCTGTTAGTCTGTTGATCAAGTTGCAAGTTCATTAGGTTCTGAAAGACACGCTTGCTTTGCAAAATAGGAGGAGGAAGTCTCATTGCTTCAAGTTCCGGTGGGAACTGCAGGATTGTCCATGCTAGGATGAAAATGATCAAACGTCAAATTGGCAGTGAAAACATTGTCAACCTTGTCAAGGTTAGCCTTGTACACGGGATGTTGAAGACAAGACACCAAACAACGTGTTGCTCTTTGGCAGTGGTGCTTCAAGTTGAGCTGATTTAATATGTGTGTATATACATATATATATATATTATATATATATATATATATATACATACATATATATACATAGAGAGGGGGTGCTCGCTTCATGTTTCGATTTTTTGGATGCGTCGCCTCGCCCCGAGGGTCCGCCGGAAACGTCGAAGACCACGAAGCCTTCACGCGCCCAGCTCCGAAAAGGAGTGCCAAGCGTCTGAACACTTATGGCTGGTCCAAGATGACTGCCCCTGAGCTGAGCTCATCTATAGGGTTTAGGGTTTAGGGTTTCAGTCCGTGCTGAAAGGGTTCAGGGTCTTCAAGCGAAGCGAAAGCGTCATCCATGCAATGTTGGTACACATGCAGATGAGAGGATGTCTCCTCAACGCAATATTGTAGGTGCCCATGCATAACCCATGAGAGCCGCATGTACTCCAATGCGTCCAAGAACTATAAGCTCTATCCCAATCTCAGGTCTACAACGCCAGCCACATCTACTGGCAGCAGTTCCAGACAGATTCGGGACAGCCTCCAAGCACCTGGGGCCAGGTCATGGATGCGACATGGCTGGTCCAGAACCACCATGGCCCCTTCTCACACCACCCGCACCTGAAGGAGGTGGAAAATTCGGGGGTCGCAGGCTTGCGCCCTATAGACACGATCAGTGTCGACATGTCTTTTTGGCCGGCAGGTCGCCGTCTGCAGATGCAGTGCAAGCATGCAGGCCACAATCAGGCGCCTGTGTGCAGCGACCAAGATCTTTCTAAGCAGATGGTTTCCAAGGGGCGCTGGCAGTACACCAAGTCCATCGACTCTGGAAACCCAGTGGACTTTGTTTAATGTCCTGAGCAGTCTTAGATGACAGGAAGACTTCAGAAGAAGGTCCTGTCAATGCGCAGTTCGCCTCAGAGATCCAAGCCCAGAAAGAGGATGTTCCTTAGAAGTTGCTTCGCACCCAGCGATTTGCGCGAAGGGAAGCGACGAAAAGTGAACCGATCATGGGAAGCTAGTCCGCATGCTGCGAAGCTTCCTTATCGGCCCTGAACACAGGGGTTTCGAGTTAACGAAGCATGCTGGCCAGAGGGAAAGGCTCGTAGGGGTTGAACCAGAAGCTGAGGGAAGTCGAGGTACCAGAACCCTAAACCCTAAACCCTAAACCCTAAACCAGGGGGGTGTGCGCAGGCTGTCGCAGATCGTAGACACACGCCCGGAGGCGGCCTGATCATGGACAATCTTACACAGATTCAGTCAAAGGTCCAGTCAAGGGAAGGAGCCTGGGATCTTCGCAAGCTGCTGTCATCTTCACAACCGCAAGAGTCGGCTAGTGCCAAGATGCGCAGAGGGACCGAAAAAAAGCCGGAGGTGCTCGGATTGAATCTTGTCCCATGGGGTTTAGGGTTTGGGGTTTAGGGCTTAGGGCTTGCACGAAGATTGACTTTGGATGTGCGCCTTGTTGAAGCTTGTTGTGCGTTGCTTCTTTTTTGGCAAGGTCTGGGTAGATGAAGATCTCCACGGTTGAATCTGATGTGGGGTCTTCGGGTACATAGGGGCAACAACCGATGCCAAGTGCTTGACATGATGACCGGATCGGGTCCAAGGTTTGAATGCTGCGGCAACGAGCTCGTGTTGTTGCCGGATGCTTGAACAGAGAAGATGTATCTCGTGACTGACCGGCGCAACGAAGTCGTGAAGGCCAGCGTCAATCCAACTATGATTACCTGACACCATGTCCAGGCCAGCCTCGAGCCTTGAGCCTAAACAGCCAAGATTCCTATCTATGCGCTGTCACGTGGCATTCTTCGGGTGCTTGGAGGTTCATGGGTAG